CGTTTGAAGCGTAAAGATCTTTTTTTATCTGACGTCAAAAATGTCTACGTTCGTCCCGAAAAAACAGCATTTGCGGGAAGTCATGCTTCATTATTACCTTTTAAAGAAAAGTGCAGCTGAAACGTGTCGTATATTGAGCAATATTTACGGTAATCACGCTCCATCAAATACAACTTGTAAAGAGTGGTTTCGACGATTTCAAAGTGACAATTTCGACGTGAGTGATAAAGATCGCGAAGGGGCACCGAAAAAATTCGAAGATACTCAACTACAACAATTATTGGATGAAGACGCATGTCGAACCCTTGATGATATGTCTAAAGAGTTGGATGTTGACAGATCAACCGTCGGTAAACGTTTGCACGCAATGGGAATGGTCCAGAAAGCAGGTAACTGGGTGCCCTATCAATTGAAGGAGAGGGATATCGAGAGACGTTTGGTGACGTGCGAGATGCTTCTTGAACGGCAGAAAAGAAAAGGTTTTCTGCATCGCATCGTCACTGGCGATGAAAAATGGATATATTATGATAACCCTAAGCGTCGAAAAAGTTGGGGCCTGCCAGGTGAACCAGGTCCATCGACAGCGAAAAAAAATATTCATGCTTCAAAGGTTATGTTGTGCATTTGGTGGGATCAGAAGGGTGTCATCTATTATGAACTCCTTAAACCATCTGAAACCATCACTGGCGATCGTTACCGATTGCAGCTAATGCGTTTGAATCGAGCTCTCAAAGAAAAGCGGCCGGAATGGGACAGTAGACATGACAAAGTGATTTTGCTGCATGACAACGCCAGGCCACACGTTGCTAAACCGGTCCAGAAATATTTAGAGGGATTGAATTGGGAAATCTTACCCCACCCGCCGTATTCCCCAGACATTGCACCTTCGGATTACCATCTGTTCCGATCAATGCAGTCAGCCCTTATTGGAGAGCGGTTCACTTCTTACGAAAGCATCGCAAACTGGCTCAATGAATGGATCAAGTCAAAAGAACTCGAATTTTTCGTCAGAGGAATCCGTATGCTGCCTGAAAGATGGAGTAAAATTGTAGCTTCCAATGGCACATACTTCACATAATATCATGTATTATTTAATTGTTTAAATAAATCGTAACTTTGGCTAAAAAAGGGCGGAAACTTATTCCCATACCATATGTTAGAGAGGACTATATCACATGAGATACGAGGAAGAAGATGGAGATTGCGTAGCTTTGCCAAAACGGGCAACCTGGAAAGTTACCCAACAAATGCATAGATTGCTGTTACATTTCGGAACGGATAATGTGATCGGGTTCATGGAGCAATATTTCCATTGGTTCGATATAACAAAGGTGGCTCGAGATGTGGTTGCATCCTGTCATACGTGTCTGGCGACAAAATACTATTCACGGTCAACGGAAGGAGTGCAGTATTATGAATTGCCGAAAGTACCGGGTATTAAAGTATCGATGGATATTTTTGGGCCATTGCCAAAGATTAGAGAAGGTTATGGATATCTGTTGGTCATTATGGACCAATTCAGCAAGTATACAAAATTATACTCAATGGCTAATCAAACATTGGAGACAATCATTGGGATTTTATGGGACTTACCAGTACTTTCCAGAGAGGGGTATGCCGCGAACCGATAACGGAGGGCAGTTCAATATCGAAAAATGGAACGACTTTGTAGAAGAAGCAGGATTCGAAATCGTAAAGACGTCACCGTATAACCCACAATTTAAACCAGTAGAATGAGTGATGAGGAAAGGTTGGGCGCGTGATCAGAACGTACGCAAGTGATTGACATCATACTTATAGTAGGGTGATACTCGGGTTGGAGAATGTGAGCAACGCTACTGTCCACGCAAGGAGTTGTTATGCACCGGAATTGTTGCACTGAGAAAACGACATAGAACTCCATCCCGCGTTGAGAACAAACTGGGCAATAGCCGAAACAAGGGAGAATTGAATAAGGAAGACTAATGAAAATTTGCAAAGACCGGCGGAAAAAAGATGTCAGCAGTTTGAAAAGAAAACGACGGCACCGCAATACCGAATGGGAGATTTGGTTTGGTGCAAGTTACACCTTAGATTGGACGCAAACCGAAGGTTGACGAGGAAAATACACTTAATGTATGATGGGCCATACCGAATTAGAAATGTCATATAGAAGAACGCGTATGAGTTGGCGGACTTGGATGAAGTCCATAGGGATATTCAATTCTAGACAATTGCATCCACACCGAGAAGCCAGAATGCAAAGATATGGCGAAGAGGAAGAGCAATGAGTACAAATGGATGTTAACATGATGGAGATCGCATCGGAGGAGGAAAAGCAAACCTTGGAGATTCAAAGAAAAAAAAGGACAAAACAAACGGATGAGAAGAACCTAGAAGCTAACGGAGAAATAAGGTTAGGATAGATTTTCAAGGAAAAGTTGACAAAGGAAAACCAGAAAAAGTGGAAGAAGCCAGTGGACGAAAATCTGAGAAATAGGAGGACAGGATCTCAAAGAGAAAGGAAAAGAAAAACGGAGGAAATTACGAACTATCAGATAGTTACGAAGGTGTAGTCCAAAAAACCAAGGTGGAATAGAACAAGAGGAAGGCCGAAAAATTGGAAAGAAAGACAATGTAGAAATTGCAGGCGTGGATCAGGCGTTATGCGAGGAAGAGATAGATAAAATGGCGATAGATAAATGGAGATAGATAAATGGATAGATAAAATTAACTGTAACGAAAACCGGCGACCAAAGGACCGGCGACCAGGACGAATGACCTCTGCAAGGAAAAATCCGTGGAACCAGTTAGTGATGCAAAGGGAATTACGCAAGCGCAAACACAAAGGTACCCGGAAAATTCGAGTATTAAAGAATGAAGAAAACGAAAAAATGGAAATAACGGAGGAATTTAATAAGAGAAGGATCAGTGAAGGGAAAGATCTACAGAGACAAAATATTAGACCAAAGACAGTAAGGATATCCAAGAAACGAGCACCACTGAGGAAGAGGAGCCACAAAATGTGAACCTTCGGAGAAAAAATCAATCAACACGGGAAAGCCAAAAAGACAGTATGACAAACAAGCGTTACGCGAGCATGAGGCCTCGATCGACGAAAACAAGCATGTGACTGAGGCAAGTACAAGCGTGTTAATACCACCAAACTCATAGAGGAAGCATCGAAGAAATCATGCGTCGAGCACATACGAGATGATCAGTACTGCTGAGGAATTGTGCGAGCGAACATCGAGTGAAAGACCCAGTGAGTACTATAGGCAAGATATAGTGCGGTTTAGAAATGCGTAAAGAAATTGCAGGTACGAGTGATATCGCAGGAAAGGAGTCGCTGATCAAAATGGAAATGCGAGTCGTTGCAGAAATTGAGGAGCAGCTCAAGATAGACCAGCAATGTTGGCAGCAAATAAGAGAGGTCAACCACGCGCAGGCAACGTTAATGAGATTGAAAGAAGTGAACGCGAGACGCCAATTAGACGAGGAGGATCCGAGTGCATCAACTGAGCGACTGCGACAGGTCATAGCAAGAACTACGGAGCGAACGAAATAGATCCATAGGGTAACAAATACCACTCCACTGATGCTGGATGGGTCCAGTAAGATTTTGGGAAGTATCATTGTGACAGTTCACTTAAACGAGGCTGGAAAAGCAATGATAAAAGAAAGAATCATGGCGATAGAATTGGACATCAAAAACGAAAGTATTGTGAACCGGAGTATCCGTGCGCAGAAAGCGGAAAAAGAGGCAGAGCAGCAGCAACGGGAAGTCATGTAAGAAACCGAAAAAGATCTCATGATCTCGGGTGAAGTATTGCCGGTTGAGCGTGATGCCACACAGGTGAATGGATTCCTGAATAACTACAAGAACTTGTGGCAGAGGCAGTTGTAGAAGATAACGAGCATGAGAAATCGATGTTACCAATAGAGATCGCAAGTATCATTATGGAGGACATCAGTGACGATGACCTAGAGATAATGTACCAAGCGGGTTGCAGTGTAGATGGAACGGAGTTCTCAGTCAAGATAGAAGTCGGAGCGGATCCGTTAGAGGAGGACCAATTGAAGCTGTACTTCGAGCCGGATTCTGACAATTCCCTAATGAGAGCAATCCATCGGGGGAACAGTCGACGGACGGTTTAAAGAGGCCGAATTGTCTACTGAGCAGGTAAAAAACAAGCGAGAATGGGAAAAAACGATGGACCGCCCATTGCGAAAAAATCCCTAAGCGAGTCCAAGTTTAACCTTATTGGAGGCAGTGGAGAAAAGGCGCAGAAACTTCCGGAGTGTCTCAATCAAAGGGGAACAAATGGGCCAGGAAGAGAGTGCAACTCGACCGAGGTCAGTCTTTTCAATGATCAAAAAGGATTTGAAGGCCGAATCGGAGAAAACAGCCGATAAACGGAGAAACAAAGAGCTGCGGTTGAAAAGAGAGGGTCATAGTGGCCAAAGGGTCAAAGGCCAAAGCACGGACACTAGCCGAAGGCGCATGGCAAATTCAGCTTCAAGATGACGAGGCAAGCGGAGTGAGAGCAGTTCAAAGTGGACAAAGTGGGAAATCCCAAAAGTTTAGTGTTAAGCAAATAAAGTTTAATTATAAATATAAATATATGATGTATAGGATTTTTATTTTTTGGTATTAAATTATAAGAATAGAATTATTAGAATATAGCGTTAAGATAAATATACTCGTATTGGAATAAAGGGACCAGGCCATAGCGAAAACGTAAGATGCCATTCCCGGATGATGAGTTGAGTAGCCCGTCATATTGGGACAGATCACCGAAACCAATGGACCAAAATTATTAGAACGGAAATGTACTCCTAGAAGAGCGAGTGAGCGCCGGGGAACACCGACAATCCGAAAAAACGGTAGGAATAGAAAAGTTGAAACAAAAAACCAAAACCATTAAATTTCTGTGTGGGGAAAATTAGGAAGAATGACGGTGTAAAATTTGAGCTTAACCCAAGCGGTCGTGGCAAAACAGTGTTTCGTACACTTAGGATGCGAATTTTGAAAAACGCCACCGTTAATGTCCAGAAAAGGGATGGTTTTAAAACATAACGAAGCCGGATTCGAGGGATTACCATGGAAAGTACCCGAAATAATGTTTAGGGTAGAAACGATACGGTGTAAGAATTTCTGAATTAGGGGAATAGAGAGAGAGCAAAGTAGATTAATAACGAAATCGAGCGAAACGTAAATAGATGTCGAAAGGGCAAACCGGGATACCCGGGTGTAAATAAGATAATATAGATAGAAGAACAAGCGATGAAAGATATACGGCGTTGATTAAAACATCTAGATAGTCAGCATAACGACCTGGATCTTTCTAGCGAGGAGAAAGCATCGCGAGCAAGAGATGAATATCTAGCATAGAAAGAAAGGTACGAAAGGTAGATATAAGGACGGAGGTGGAAAGGCGAGTCCGCAAACATGATTAACGCGATATGAAAGATAAGCGAATTGAGCACTATAAGCGCTATGTAGCGTATAGTAGGGAGGAGGCAGGAGAATAGAGGGATGCGTGTGCAATAAAAACGCGCACGCGAAAGCCCTCGAATAGTTTTACCCTCTCGACAGTTAAACAGCAAAAACGAGAGTAGGATAGCCCTGAGTGAGAGCCGAAAACGCTAGACAGTTGGAACGAGGGAGGAGTTATCTCTTGACTGTATAAGGCGTGGAATAGGCTAGTGAAGTGATTGCGACCAATAGTGAAGCAAGTAGAGTGTTTAATCTTGTACGGATAAGCGACCACCAGAAGTGTATATTTGTGTATATAAAGATACTTATGTAACAATATTATGATAAAATATACAGTGTAATAATTAAGTAAAATTGATCAATCTTCCTTTACCTTTCCATAAGCGTTATTCCGGCTAATAAAGTGACACTTGAAGCTGCTGTTTCGGAGCTGAATGATAAAGTTATTATAGAAAGGAGCAAGACCTTCACCTTTGGGGATTAAAAGACGTGGCGACCGTGGAATCAAGGACCGAAATTCATGTAACTTTGTGGAAATTCGGTTACAACCTTGCTTACCACACCGAGTTAAAGCGGTGTCGGCAAAAATCAACGCGAATTTACGAAAGGTAAAAGCGTCGGACTTACATCCGGGATAGAGCATTTTCAAAATTAATTTGCAATACGTAATCCATTTTTAAAGATTTTCTTTATTGTTTGAAGGTACAATATACGAGGGTCGTTTGAAAAGTCCGTGCAAAAATAAAAACTACTTAATTTTTTGGGGTAAACTTTTTTTATTTTTCAACATAGTCACCTTTTAGGCTTATACACTTCGTCCAACGCTGCTCTAATTTGTTGATCCCTTCCGAATAATAGGATTTGTCCAAGTCTGAAAAATAGCCATTTGTTTCTGCAATCACGTCCTCGTTTCCATAAAATCTTTTTCCCGCCAGCCATTTCTTCATATTGGGGAACAAATAGTAGTCCGAGGGAGCCAAGTCTGGAGAGTAGGGGGGATGTGAGACGAGTTGGAACCCTAATTCCATTAATTTTGCGACCACAACTGCTGAGGTGTGAGCTGGTGCGTTATCGTGATGGAAAAGGACTTTTTTGTGGGCCAATCGTGGGCGTTTTTCTTGCAGCTCGGTTTTCAAACGGTCCAATAACGAT